TATTATATATATATATATATATGGACACGTACACATGTGGATCATTTCCGTACCTACAGAGAGTGGTTGTGGCGTATGGCACAAAAAGATTCACTATCGGCAGTCGCTTAACCAGGGCAGTCTTGCTTGCACTAGGCAACGTATCTGTTTAAAAGCTGATTCAAACGGAAATTTCTTTGTTCACTTTCATACCTGCGCATAAATTCATTATGTGTTTTTGTGAGCTGGCCAATGCGAAGACCGATGGGCGAGGGAACTGGCACCAGAAGAAATGAGCAGCATATGGCGAAAATGTTCTGTCTTATTGTGCAGATTACCCCAATCACTAATGATGTTTTATGCTGTGGAGTTGCAACAGTGAAGAGGCCCAAATAAGCAATTCAATCAATGCACCAGATCGCGGACAACAGCGTCCTGTTATAGTGTGGTGCGCAGGCACTACAATAGAGCTATGGTAAGGTTTCTAGCATCCTAAAGGCCATAGAATGAAGGATTATCACATTAAAAACTAGGAAAATGAATTAATACTGCTAGAGGTTCTAAGAATCGAGTACCATGGATAGGAGTAGGATTACCCTCGCCGGCAGCCACTCCACCACTCGGGTACCAGGTAGGCTCCTTTAGAGATCTAGTTGGATAGGTGATATAATTATTACTATATAGGTGTATTATGTCCATAATTACGGCCTTGGTGGAGCTCTAGGTCAGGCTCATGACCGTTCCGCTACCATTGATATTCACGCCGCCATCCTGTATGCTGGGCACCCAGTCATGACCGGGGGTCAATTTGGAACACAGTTCTTTTATTCTACGAATTCGCATTATTACTTCAGACAAATGATTTGTTATTCGTGGTGTAGACTTCGGGGGAATTTTGGTAGTCAAAGGTTGTACTTAGGGAGTAGGGACTATGCGACTGCTAGTAGGCGTGACCTAGGACGTTCGCGCACTGCACATAGTAAGCGCCCTCCCGACGAGAAGGCAGCCCAAGCAACTTGCACCATTATACAGTACATTTTCTCGTCTTTCAATTAGCAATACATTAGTTGTCTTGTCAAATATTATAACCCACGCAGCATGCCTCTTTAGCTGAGCCGTCGTAACAATCGGGTTCTGTGCTGCCAGCTGTCGCGAGCAAACGTGGACGGCAAGGTAACCTGTTTCAACTGAACTGTTGAACATTTCGCTTCTTCATTTGAAGACGTTATTTCGTAAATTCCTTGAAAAGTGTCTAGGGAAAGACCTCATGGAGGGTAACTTACTTTCCCGGTGGACACCTTCGTGCAGAGTCTGCACTGTTTTCTGAACCACCACCTTGCGCCGTCGCTCCACACTTTCTTTGGCTGTCATAGCCGTTTTTCACTTTTTGTCGTGGCTTTAGTGGGATTTTGTGAAATCGGAACTGTTCTAGCTACCTTCGCTGACGCTGCAACAAGTCTGTTGGCAGTTGCCACGGCACAGCCAACCAAGCTGAACCAACTCCTTCGTCTGAAGCAGCAGCAAGGACGAAAAGACTCCTTCCCCCACCGATGGAGTCAGGACATCAGCGTCAAATGCAAGCAAACCAGAATTCATCTGCGACCCTCACATCCGACAAAGAGTTGGTGGGCGTAAACGGAAGAGTGTGGGCATGGACGAGGTCCGCGTCTTCTTCTCCTTTCATCGAGCATTTGGCCCTTGCGGGGATTGACCTCCTAGTGGCTCTCTTGAACCTCATTCTGTTGGTTAACCTGAGGCCCCCTTGGTTTCAGGAGGCCAACGAAGATGTGCGCGGTGAAGAGGTGCAACGGAGACTGAGTCTGGCATATGTGGCGACATCAGCCATCGTAACTGGCTTTCTTGGGATTATCCTGAAGGCTGTGGTGATTGGGTGGTGCGTGAGAAAGACGGTGTTCAGGGTGCCACGGACCGGTGTTCCCGTGACTATGAGGCTCTGCGGCTATGAGTTACCTGCAGACTGTCTGGGTGGCTACAGTATTAGCTTGAAGGCTGTAGGCTGCGTTTCAGCTGTATGGGTGCTTTTGGGCGCCGCATTCTTTCAGATGATGGGGGCTGCCCTTGAAGACGTCTTCTCTTCGGTGCTGCTGGGAGTAATCTTCGCAGCTCTCGGCTCGGTAACCCCATACTTTAATGCTCTCGCGGAGGCTTGCCGCTCCTCACGGTGGAGATGCAATAGCACAGAAAACATGCCAAAGAAGATGGCCCCCGTGAGTGCTGAAGCAGCAGTGGAGCGAAGAGAATCAGAAAGAGCAGCAGCAGCAGCAGCAACAGAAGCTCGAGAAGCAACATCTGCAGAAACATCATCAGCAACACGCGGAGCAGCAACAGCAGCACCACCAGCGGGCAGTTCAGTTTTGGCTATTCGGTCTCTGTGGGAGTCGGAGTACGGAGAAGCGTTGCCTGTGTGGTTTTGCAAGGTCACATCGCTGGTGGATATCTTCATCCGGCTGTTGGATTTCATTTGCTGTCCTTCGGTGCTTTTGCTTTTTTTCCTGCAACGGATCATGGCACTAAGGCGAGGATGGGGGGCGGGGCCGTCTCCGGCTATAGGCCCTCAAGGATTGGCTTGTTTGTTGGTGTATTTAAGCTCGGCGCCTCTGTTCATTAGCTGCGCCGCCGGCCTTATTTCCTGTTTGTTGCTGCCTATGGACTGGCCCACTGTGTACATCTTGTTCCCCGCCCCTGTGTTGGCGTCAGTTAGCCTTGTATATCCTTTTTCTTGTCTGATTGCTTTCTCCTCTTGGTTGTTTTTGCCTTTCTGCTACGACGTCACTCCCCGCTACGGGGAGGCCTCTCCTTTTCTGCAGGAGATGCTTCTCAGGTCCTTTTGCCACTCCGAAGATGGCTTTGTAAACCAGACCGAATATCCCCCCCCTCAACCCCCACAGAGCAGGAGGAGATCCAGACAGGACGCTGACGTGGCTTTGCAAACCAGAGAGGAAGCCCAAACCCCAGCAACAGGATCTCCAAAACGCACCTCAGAAACAGCAGGAACAGAAGCATACGCTGGACCATGAAGAGATACGTAGAAGGCAACTTTAGTGTGGCTTCGTGGCGGGTGCACAGGTTCGGATGAGCAGCAAAAAATAGACAAGGGAACTGCACGTACCTATGCCGTATCTACGTACGTATTGTCACTAGGTTTTTTCCTGTATAGAAGAGGCGGTTATCCGCAGCGTTCGTGGAATCAAAAAGAAACAACCTTCAGCAACTGACTTCGAGCTGGGGGCGTGGTACAGATGGATGCGCACATACAGTAGGAGATATGCATATCTTAGCACAGCGCTTCGTGCAACATGACAGGGCCAAACAAGGTTTACGACTCTGCCTGCATTGAAGAAGGACCCATAGAAGAGCCACAAACTACCCGTGTTCGGTCTGCTCTCTGGCGTCCATTATACATAAATTGGCTCCTGGGGGAGTAAGTGTTCGTTTAGGTGGCTGTGAGGTGTACGCCGCAGGACATGCGCATGCGTGCACTTTGTATGGAGTACGAGCGAGCGCAGCACGCTAGCTTCTGTACTTATTTAATTGGCCAGTATAGGGACCTGGATTTCAATTTTTGTTCGGCGGTAGCCTTTATTGCCACTCTTGAACATTTGTCCGCTGCAGCTCAGTTGGCGTCCACAGGTTTTTGCAGTTGAATCTGCCTTTCCCGTCATTTAAAGAGCTGCACGGGGGCAGGGGGATCGGAGTCCCTTTTACATAGCATGAGCATGCATATGCTTGGATCCTCAAGTAGAGGCGTATTTGTTGGTGTGTATGAATTTGCTGCTTTGGTAATGGTCATGAATTGCCTCACCGGAGTTGTTTCCTGGTTTTTGCTGCCTATGGACTGGGTGTACGTCTTGTTCCCCACCCCGAGGGTGGGAGCGGACATCCACTTTCTTCCTGTTTCTTGTGTTTGTTCGTATTTCGCTTTCGGTCCTTTTTGTCCGTCTCTCTGTCCCCCTCTACCACCAACTCCCCCCACCAGAAGCAGATGTTAATAAACAGGTAACTTGTAGATAAATGTATATGTTACACACAGAATATTGAATCCAATGCTCATACACAACCATATCCCGTACATACATTCCAATGTATGCGCATTCATGCACATGCATATATTCATACGTGGAATCCTCGAAGTGCCTCTACTTGTTCCTGCCGCCGTTGAACTTAAATTCTTTTGTATTAAGTACTTGCGCCACGGATATATTTGTCGAAGTATGTTGCGTAAGCCGCACACCCTTCTAACGACTCCCTCTTCACTGTATATATACTATACTGTCTGTAGATTGCTTCAAGCACACTTAAGGGGGTGTCTCTCTAAGGTGTTGTTGTGACTACCTTTTCCGTGTAACTGCCAATTCAGCGCACCACATCAGTGCACATTCTGAAAACAACAGTACTTCGAGTATTTATAGTTCCCGCATTAGAAGTCAGGCAGTGCAGTCGTTACTGTACAATAGCCAGCCGCCTTCAACTCAAGCTGGCACCCTGAAATAAATAAATACGCTGAACAAAACAAACTGCTGATAGGCATTCCCTTTAACCGGGATGCACCGTTGGCAAAGGGATGCCAAGCCTCCCGTCGCTGCTGTTGCTGCAGACTGTCGGTGCAGGGGTTGGTGCAGCAGCAGCCGTCTCTGCAGCAGAATATGCGCTCTCCTCCTTCATCCCTCCCCACCCGGTCTTGTAGGCTTGTGTACCACCCTTGTTGGCTGGTGGTGTTTTCCTTAGTGGCCCCATGGTGTATCTCACTGGGGCCCCACACCGCACAGCATGCCAAAGGAGACAAATGCTTTCCTATCCGTCCCGGGTAACAGAACTGTCACAGAGCACGTAATTATGTCACCGGCAAGGGACGCACAGAGAACCCCTGGTACAGTCCCCATGAAGGACCCACAGCTGTACATGGGCATCATTCAGTAAGCCCCAGGGCGCACTCGGCCACGCACGAGCCCCAGACGGCAAGTCTCCTGGGTGTGATTTGTCTCCCTACAGGGGTTCACGGACCCTTGGTGGTTTTGTCAGGTCGCCAACACCCCCATTTTGGGAGCAGGAGCCCAATGCGACTAAAGGGGATGCGGCTAAGCGGGAAAAGGCGGGCCTTCGCATTTCTTCTTTAGGCCGCCTTACCTGCTGCGCCCTTGGCTGGGGGCAGTCCTGGCTTGGAGAGGGCTGGCTTTGCTGGGACGAGCGGTTTGGGGGCCAGCGCCGGTTTTGCTGCCGGAGCCCCTTTGGCTAAGGCGGGCAAGGGCTTGGAAGGAATGACAGGCTTGGCTAATCCAGGCTTGGCTAGAGCAGGCTTGGCTAGAGCAGGCTTAGCTAGCGCAGGCTTAGCTAGCGCAGGCTTGGCTAGCGCAGGCTTAGCTAGCGCAGGCTTAGCTAGCGCAGGCTTACTCAGGTCGGGTTTGGGGGGCCCTGGGGTTGGCTTGGACGGGGCTCCAAGTGGTGGCTTGGGCGCCTCCCCAGGTTTTCCTAGAGGGCTCTTTTTTGCATCTATCTTTGCGTCAGGTGCCTCTTTAGCCTGCTTAGGGGGAATCCCTGCCGTTGATGGAGGGCCGCCCCCCGGTTTTGCCGTGGCAGCTGGAAGCTTCGCGTCCTTCTTAGCAGGGGGTCCAGCAGGTGAAGCTGCCCCCCCCGTTTTGGGATCTTTTGCTGCAGGCAGGCCTGGTTTCGATGCTGGAGCAACCCCCGTCTTAACTACCGGGGCGGTACCTAGCGGTGGCTTCGAGAGGGCAGCCCCTGGTCCAGCAGCAGGGAGCGCTGTCTTGCTCCCATCAGGCTTCGGCGGCCCCCCAGCCTCCGTCTGCTTTCCATCTGGTGGAGAGAGCCCTGCCCCAGGCTTCGAAAGAGGCCCCGGCTTCCCCAGAGGGCCGCCCGCTGGCTTGGAGGGCCCCGGAGGAGAGGCCCCCGGCTTCGTCAACCCGGTGGGTGGGGCTCCCGTCTTTGGCTGATCCGACTTCTTTACTGCTTCTGCAGCTCCAGATTTCGGCAGATCCCCTGGCTTGGACTGTGGGAGCTGTCCGCCTAGAGGAGGTTTCGGGAGATCGGGTTTGGTTGCTATTCCTGTCTTGCCGGCCACCTCTCCAACAGGAGAGCCCACGGCTTTTGGTGCGCCCACAGGCTTCGCCAGCTCAGCCTTTCCTGTTGCAAGTCCAGGCTTGGGCAAATCAGGCTTAGAGACGGGCACGGATGGTTTAGGCAGCTCAGGCTTAGCAGCAGGCAACGACGGTTTTGGCAGTTCAGGCTTCGATGCAGGCGACGAGGGTTTGGGCAGTTCAGGTTTAGAGGCAGGCAACGAGGGCTTTGGCTGATCAGGCTTCGAGGAAGGTAACGACGGTTTCGGCAACTCAGGCTTGGACGCAGGCAATGACGGTTTAGACAGCTCAGGCTTCGCCGAAGGCAGGGAAGGTTTAGACAGCGCGGGCTTCGAGGAGGAGGCGCTGGGCTTTGCCGCTGTCGACTTGGTGGGCTCTTCTTTCTTTTTAACCCCATCTGCATAGGAGACATCGCACTGTATTATATATAACAATATATAGTATATAGTGGTATAGTATAGTATAGTATAGTATAGTATATATATATATATATA